CACCCCCACCCCCATCCCCCCTCCTCCCGAGCTCTCAATCGTCCATGAAAAGATAACACATTATTCACCAGGTACACACAGATCCTGTCACAGATGTAGGAAAACGTTTCGTTGCGATCGCGATTTGAAGAAAATGTGGTGTTGAATTCTGTGGGACAACTTTTCCTCCCCCTTTCTCAGTGGCATAATATTATTGGAATATGGCTGAAATAAGTGTCCTTTCTTCTGAGCGTTTGTAGGAAAGCATAGTCCCAGCGCTGTCTCACTAGAGAAAGTGTGTTCTTGGTTTCTGATGGGACATAGAATATAGTGTAAAGCGCATAGAGCCTGCTGCTGAGCGGGGATGTGCGCTATACAAATGCGATCTATTATTTCTGATGGGACGTTTTAAGCCTTAGATTTCAGCTGTCGGAAATGGTCTGTAGGTGGGAAATAACGCTTAGACCAGGTATAACAATCTCCCTTGAAGTCATCGGGTACATGTTGTTTGATCATGTATTGACAGAGATGATGTACCACGAGGCTGGGGCACAAAGTGGGCCGGGTACACGAGACATCCGAGGGACCCGCTGCTCCAACACAGCTCTAGTGACAGGCTTCGTGCTAGGAGTCTGTGAAAACACATGCCGTTGTTGTTCTTGAGATAACGTGGGGCCATGTCCTGGACAATCCTACGCCATAGCAGTCCAAACGTGTGTGCAATGGAGACAGTTCTGTAGTACAACTTGTAGATGTTCACGCTTCCCTCTACTCCTGCTGCTGTGGTGAGGTACCGTAGTCTGGTGAATGTGGTGGTCTCTCAACTCCATTATTGTGAGCCTGACACATATAAAACTGCTCACACTGAGATTGACACATCTAACAACTGACACACTGAGACAGACACACACTGATCCTGACACATCCAACAACTGACACACTGAGGCTGACACACACTAAGATTGACACATCTAACAACTGACACACTGAGACAGACACACACTGAGACAGACACACACTAAGATTGACACATCCAACAATTGACACACTGAGACAGACGTGCGGCTATCTGCCCGGCTACAGGAACACACCACAGCACGATGGCTACAGGCCTCCTCAGACATCTGCCCAGGGCGGCTACCGGCTTGGCCAGAAAACTGACCAGCAGAAGGCGGGCTTTCCTGACCTGGGGGGCTGTCCTGTTGGTCGTCCTGGCTCTGTACTTTACCTTGACCCATCAAAAAAATCAGGTAAGTTCATCTTGTCACAGCTTCCAGGTACAGTTTATCCTCTCAGTCCTTTGATCAGGCCGTCAGGTTTTTTTTACAGAGATTCCTATATATATTATAGATATATATATATATATATATATATATATATATATATATATATATATATATATATATATATATATATACATATTATAAAATATTATCTCACTCTCTCTCTCTCACTTTGATCTGCCATTATATTATATAGATTAAAAACCGCCTTCATCTCTATCTCTCTTGATCTTTTTCTTTGCCAGAACTTTCAGCGTGTCCCTGGACCTCTAGCAGTTTTGTTTTTCTCGAAATGACGTATCACAAAGACATTTTAATGTTTTTCTTTCAGGCTCCCAAAGTTTTGAAGTTGTCGTTTTCCTTGTCGGCGAGAGACAGGTCCACAGATGTCTTTGTGCGTGCCAGGGGCGCGGAGGTTTACGTCTACTCCGCCATCGGTGTGTCTTTGCTTTCCTCGTTAATACACGTCTTATGTTTCCACGAAACTGTAGAGACGGGACATCAAAATGGAATGGATAGCTCTGGGATGCAGAAATGAAAAGGATATCTCTCTGAAACCAAAATGAAAAGGGGGGGGGGTGAAGGGGGAGAGAGAGAGAGGGAGGGAGAGAGAGAGAGAGAGAGAGAGAGAGAGAGAGAGAGAGAGAGAGAGAGAGAGAGAGAGAGAGAGAGACAGACAGACAGACAGACAGACAGACAGACAGACAGACAGACAGACAGACAGACAGACAGAGAGAGAGAAGGGGGGGGGGGGGGGGAATAACCAATACAGTATTTACAACTTTTCTCGAAAAGAAGGCGCGCCTTCACACTTTTTAAAAAGAACAAAGACCACGTCATGTATCTTTTTCTTTGC